AAATCTGACACCTGAGCCAGCAGTGCAGCTCCCCACTCAGACAACCCTGCTTTTACTCTGGGACTGTGGGAAAGCTACGCACCTGTGAGAGTGGCAATAAAGATGGGGCTGACAGCCAGAGGACAGGCTGAAAGGATGCCACCCACCCAGGCAACTTCTCCTCCCATCCCTAGCAGAGACTAGAAGTTTATTCTCTTCACAAAGAAAATTAGGTAAACTCTGGACTAAAGAAACAGGCAAACCTGAGAAAGGGAGCATACTACTGCGATCAAGTAGATTAAATTAAATCCTCTACACTAAACACTGAAAATGTAACCTCATCCCTTTTACATTTTATTGCTTTCCATGTGGTGCTATAGTCTATCCCCTCCAGGCAGGCATCTTGCCTGGTAGTTTGTCCATATCTGCGTATGGTTTGCTGACCTTTCAAGAAATTCTGCAAGACAGGGGTCACCAACCTATAGTGAGCTGTGTGATTATATCAGTATATATTACAATGTCATAGTAATAATAGAAACAAAGTACACAATCAATAGAATGTGCTTGAATCATCCTGAAACCATTCTCCCATCCCTTTCAGATCCATGGAAAAACTGTCTTCCATGAAAATGGTCCCTGGTGCCAAAAAGTTTGGGGACTGCTGCAGTAAGCTATCAAATATTCCATAACAAAATCCTTCCTATTTAAACTAGCTAAGACAAAGTATTTTGGCAGCATTCATCCTGGGATTGCAAAGATGGCTCTACATATTTATATTTGTTAATAAAAGAAATACATAACCCCAGTAGAGTTATGATCCCAACAGATGCCAAACCTAATAGAGGGATGCTTTCTTATAATTTTTTTCTTTTCTTCTTTTTTTTTTTTTTTTGGTTTCTCTCTTCCATCTTCTTCTCTCCACTCTATCTCTCCCTCTGCCTCTAGCTTTATTTCTATCTTTACGCCTCCTCAGTTATACAAGATAAATGGACAATTAGAATCACGGTTGAAACAAAAACACTACACACTCTCTGTAGTACAATAGTTAAAACCACAGTCTTGAGAATTTTAAAGACCTGGGTTGGAATGTCAACATCTCCAGTCAGAATAGCTTAACTATTCTAAGTTTCTATTTTCTTATCTGTAAAATAAGACAATAATCCTGTGTATTGATGATTGATACTTTAATGAAACAGACAGCTTTCAGGATTTCCAATTTGGAGAAATGAGTCTGTATCTAAAACTTCCAGGGATTGGCTACGAAAAATCTCAAGAAAGGCAATATTTATAAACCTAAATAGGAAGTTAGCAGTGGCCAGGCGCAGTGGCTCACGCTTGTAATCCTAGCACTTTTGGAGGCTAAGGTGGGAGGACTGCTTGAGGTCAGGAGTTACAGACCAGGCTGAACAACATAGTGAGACCTCGATGTAATGCTGAATATTCTATTTTTAAAAAAGGCTTTGGTCTCTTTGGTCAAATAGCTCTATGTGAAAAGAGATGTGCAGAGTTCCCAGATCTCCCAATTGTTTAAAACAAGACTGGATGGATTTTTGTGGGAAATGTCCTGATTTCTGAACAACTAGCTAAACCAAACACTACAGCAATGGGTTTTAAACAGTAAGCACAAGTTTAGTGGAAGCGGAACAGTAATATTGGGGTAATAAAGAACTGAGTATGCATGTGGGGCTTAGACTGTCTTTCAGTGCAGATGCGATTTTGTTTAATTTGAAAAATTCCAATACTGATAGAGTTGGAAAACACTGCCTTATTGGGAAATAGAAACATCTCGTCGCAAAAAAGATTTAATTGTCTCTCTAAAGGCCTACTTCTCTCAAACCCTGGGATATTCCTTAGGATGCCATCCATTTTTTCCATATTTAATTTAATAGATCTTACTGTGATATATTCCTAACAATAGCCAATTTCTCATCTAACATTCAAGTCAAGAATACAGGCATAGATGTCAGTGGGAAAGTAATTATTAATTTTTTTTTGAGACAATGTCTTGCTCTGTCTCCAGAACTACAGTACAGCTACAACCTCTAACTCCTGGCCTCTAGCAGTCCTCTTGCCTTAGCCTTCCAAGTAGCTAAGACTACAGCCACATGTCCATGTCAGCATGCATGGCTAATTTTTTTTTTTTTTTTTTTTGTAGAGAAGGGGCATCGCTCTTGCTCGGGCTGGTTCCTGGATTCATGCAATTGATTCTTGTGCCTTGGCCTCCCAAAGTGCTAGGATTTCAGGCATAAGCCACTACACCTAGCCTACTAGTTTTTTTGTTTTGTTTTGTTTTGTTTTATAACATATCATTTGTCTTTATTTCAAACAGTATGGCTAAAATCAACTTAACATGGATGTCATTCCAAAGATAATGTTTAAAGGAGAGTATTCACCTTGATAATGGTGAATTATCACATGACCTCAAACAGGTCATGTGTTCTCCTCCAGCTATTCTGAGAGCTCCCAAAATCAACCATTTTCTTGGTTGATTTTGATTTTAGTAACCTAATTACTTCCCAGGAGAAAAGGAAAAATCAACTCCCTCAACCAGCCACCCACGCTTATCTCTGTTGGCCCTGTTCTTCCAATACTAAAGTGGATGGCAACAGGGTTGGGTGCTGGAATCAGTACATTTCAGAAAAGGAAGGCAAGGTAAAGAGATTAATCATATTTTAATGCGAAAGAGCAGGCCACATTCACCGGGAATGAGAAAAAAGGATAACCATTTTTTCTCGTTCCCTTGTTAATCGAACATCATAATTTCAGTCGAAGTTTAAGATACATATAAATTAAAATATCAAGTTTTTTCAGGACATGGTTATAAAAAAATTTAACTGTCTTCTATGTGTTAAATACTTTGCGACACATTTTTGAGGTCATAATGTACTATACTGTTAAGATACTGCTCAAAATACTTGCTATGTATTTTGTGTTTATATAAAGATAAATAAGTATTCTATTACTCATTTACAGGATGACGATTTACAAACTAAAAAGAAAAGAAGCAAATACTAGAGTTTTATTTCATAATTTCAAACTTTAGATACTTTTAAACACTAGTGAGATGATATTATTTTGGAAAAAGGTAAATAATATTCCTTTCTCAAAAGAGGTAGTAAATTAAGAGATACTTAATACTATAACTATATTGGTCATCAAAAGCCAATATCAGGCCGGGCATGGTGGCTCACGCCTGTAATCCTAGCACTTTGAGAGGCCGAGGCGGGCTGATTGCTCAAGGTCAGGAGTTCAAAACCAGCCTGAGTGAGAACCCGTCTCTACCAAAAATAGAAATAAATTAATTGACCAACTAAAAATATATATACAAAAAATTAGCCAGGCATGGTGGCGCATGCCTGTAGTCCCAGCTACTCGGGAGGCTGAGGCAGAAGGATTGCTTGAGCCCAGGAGTTTGAGGTTGCTGTGAGCTAGGCTGACGCCACGGCACTCACTCTAGCCTGGGCAAAAAAGTGAGACTCTGTAAAAAAAAAAAAAAAAAAAAAAAGCCAATATCATATATTATAAACACTTGGAAGTTTTAATTGGCTATAAACCAATTTACATTAACCAAAAAACAATAGTGATCTTTTAGAACCCATCAGAGAAACTTAATTATATTTATATTACCTTTATGTCAGCATATTCTGAATATATCTGACCTTTTTTTAACCTGTTAAAAATTTTTTTAACCTCTGTTAAAAAATACATTAATTTTCAAAGACTGTAGTCATCATCAATATATTAAAAAGAGAAAATAGTTTCTGATGAAGCTTTGAGAATTCAATTAAAGTCTTGTTAAAGATATGTTTCTGTAAATTTTATCCTATGTACCATAAAGTGGAAATATCAAGTAACATTAAATTTTGCAGCATTAGTATTATTTTCTCATTTTGTTGTGTAATAAAAAAGGAAATATTTCTTGATAAATAATGTTATCAAAATATCGTTCAATATTTAACAATTCTCTGGTATAGATATGAGCTTGTAACAATTATTTGCCTATCATTAACAAAACTAGTCCATAATTACAAAACTATATAGTCTTAATTTAATTCATTGCCTTCTAATAATTTTTATTTCAAAAACATAGCAAATATCTATATGGTAATCCATGCCAGCCACTGTACTAGGTATAAGTAATATAAAGTTGAATAATATATAGTTCTTATATAAAAAAGAAAAATATCCCAAAACAATTATGATTTTATGATAAAATACAACAAATATGAAAGCCATAACAAACTCCCAAATGTTCATCTGCCTTTAAACCAAACTATATTGAAAGCAATGTACTTAAATAAGTGCATATCCCAACTTTCCAGTTTTTCCCTCCTGATCTTAAGGATTGCTTTTATATATAATAATCCTAATGATATCTAAAAATCCCTGATACAAATGTAAAATAGCTGATCTACAAGTTTTAGCTTAAAGAGAAACATTTAATCTTAATTAGCAAAACAAAACTTATTCCTATTTGTAACATATATAGCCTCCCAAACTGAAGAATGTTAGTAGTCGTGCTACTTAAATACTTATTTACATACTTACTTAAATACTTATTAAATGTAATGTGTTTGGGAGAATTATTCTATATTTCAATTCTTAATTTTCACTATTATTTTGTAGGGATTACATCATTAATTATTGGTGATCTAGCATGAAATTATTGGTGACTTAGCTAATGAAAATTTAACTACTAAATAAATGATTCGTTCTAAACCTATGACTTAAATTAATATAAATAAAATATTTGGAACCTCTAATTCAAGTGAGTCATACTACTATAATAAAATCCCCATCTCTTACATGTAAGGCAAACAATTGTTCCATAAAGTGATAATTTTTGTTCCAGACCTTTACCTGTAGTTAGCAAGAGAGTGACAATGGAACCAAAAGAAAATTATTTAACATTTGAAGTCAGGCTCTTAAAGTTTAAAGCAGTTCACCTCACCATCTACGTATAAAATATCTAATTTGAACTACTTATTATAAATACTTATTTTTTGTTTGCTTATTTTTACCTTAAAAGGCACTGGCTCTTCAGTAAGAGGACTAACAGGAAGTGAAGTCGTGCTGCTTGCTGGGCTCATATCTGCACTCTGCAAAAAAAAAACAAAAAAAAACTGAATTAAAAAGGGACCCTTTTGTAGTCATTTTTATTTTTCGTAATTCAGAATATTTTCCTTTTTATTAGAATAAAAAAATAAAATGTGGACATAGAAAAAATTCAAATCATGATTATTAATGAATCATTTCTTATATAGAAATAAATAGTTATCTGGGAAATTAGTCAAATTATTACTTTCTACGTATACTTTAAGTGCATTTTATTAAATATAATGGCTATCTTTTGTGTTCGAGTAGTATTTAGCATTAGCTTTGCTGAATTTATATTTTTACCTTTTCTTTGAAAATTAAACTGTATCTATAATGATTCATTATGTTGATATTTCAATGTCTTTAAGACTGAATTTTAAACAAGTATTATACATTTTCTTTCTTCTATGGACACTTAAATTATTGCACCCATGATTTTAAATTATATAAACATATCTGCCATTAATATACAATTGAAGATATGTTAAGTTTTTAAAATTCCTAAATTCATAGCCCTTGATATTCCATAACTTTTCTTACATTCTGTTCAACAAAAAATTTAAGAACAAAAGATTTACAGAATTAGAAAAGAATTACTTTAATGTTGCTAATGCTACAATGTTCTTGTAGTCTTTTAAAAATATAATCAATTAAAACTTTTTAAATAAGAGATTAGCTTAAAAAAGATTATGGGTTAGAAGTTCATTATTAATTTACTTTTCTAAAAGTATGAAAAGATGTTGAAAATAGGTAAAAATAGAAGATTTTTATGATATTCTTAACCCATTCTCTCAAAGGAATTCTACCATAAAAACAGATAAGCACAGAGAACACTGAAAAGGATGCACACCTACAGTTTTCAGCTTGTTTTCCAAATATGCAAGTACACAAATACAGAAAATTTTTCAGTATAAGACTAAAGCAAAAGAATTAATTTATTACCTTGATTGAGATAAGGAAGTAGACAAGTTTGGCTTACTTGACTCAAGTTTCAACAAAAGAACACATTCAAAGAATAGATGCTACAACTGCTACACATTCTTAAAATCTCTATCTACTCAAATATTATTTTCAATTCATTTTATTCAATGTACAATAAACTGGATACATTTTATTTACCTATTTATTTATTTTGAAACAGAGTCTCGCTTTGTTGCCCCAGGCTAGAGTGAATGCCATGGCATCAGCCTAGCTCACAGCAGCCTCAAACTCCTGGGCTCAAGTAATCCTGCTGCCTCAGCCTCCCGAGTAGCTGGGACTATAGGCATGCGCCACCATGCCAGGCTCGTTTTTTCTATACATATTAGTTGGCCAATTAATTTCTTTCTATTTTTAGTAGACACAGGGTCTTGCTCTAGCTCAGACTGGTTTTGAACTCCTGATCTCGAGCAATCTGCCCGCCTCAGGGGATGGGACTACTACTGACTGTCTAGTCTAAAAACCAAAGATGAGAAGTACCAACACAGAAACGAAAGACAATCAGTATAATTTTCATATGACATGCACCACACCTATTTTAGACAATGATATAGGGCTGTACATTGAGTGAAAATGCCTAAAGGAGAAAATGAAGTAAAAACTAAGCAATAATCTCTTAAAGGAAACAGGAAAATATATGTAACAGATAACTGAGGTGAATTAGTTACTGAATTTAATTTCTAAATTTATCCAGAGTTCTAGGCCATTTGTTTTATCAAAACCAGAAAATATGAATTGCTGACTCAGTATCTGATTATATAACAGAGAAACTAGCTTGTCCTACCAACTAATTTACTGCAGGATTCTAACATAAGAAATGAGTGAAACTTTAATGCAGAGATAGTAAAATATCACAGAAAAAAAGACTCAAGCAAGCTTCTCTCAATGTTAGATTTCTCATGAGAATTCAAGATAGTAAGAGAACACAGTATACGGTTGAATTATCTTATATGTGCCTGTAGTACTGATAGTCTGCAGAATTTATTATTATAAAGTGTCATGCCGTTAAAATTACATATTCAGAAGATAGAGGTGACATTCAGTTGTGGAAATTTAAAAGGGTGGATCATATTCTTGCCAACAAAGGTTTTTAACTTCCATAAGAGCCTAAACTCAAAATCAAGATTCATGGTAAGTTTCTTTAAACCACTTTGGTACAAGCATCCACTATAGTTGACAGCCACAGATGAATGCGCACAGCCCAGTGTCGACTGTAGCCAACAGCTGTGATATGAAGGCACACAGCTGAGCGTTGACTTTAGTCTATAATTTTGAATTAACTTTTCTAATTTTTCATTTATCAAAAGAAAATTGTGAACATTTAAAAATAACGTAATGAAAACATATATGTATATGTTTCCTATTCTGATTTACATTATAAGTAAAGCTGCCTGTAAAGTAAAACAAGCTTTCAAGCTTTCCTCATCACACAAGAGCAAAAGGGATGCGTTGTCAAATGCACAGCACAAACTACCGAGTGGACTGTGAGTGCTGGCTGTGGGCAAGGTTTCGTGGTCCATGAGCGTGCTGTACGGAAGTGGTTAAAGGTGAGGTAACCTACAGCTTCCCAGAAATAAATGTGTAATTCAAAGGACTGTAGAAAGCAGACTCAAACTTTGAGTTACATAACACTGATTCTTTCAATGTCATTCTTAGAGAAAACTGTGTCCTACCTTTAACTTTCAAATCCATCTTATAGTGTGACACTTTAATTCTATTGCTCTTAGGAAATCTTGAGACAAATGTTTTTAAAAAACAAATCAATCATATATGACAACATCTGATAAACGGCACTTAATTATCAAGTTGAGAAATACATAGCAAAAAATTAAATAAAAGTATCTTCAATTTTATCCTATTGTTTTCCCATTTGCTTTTCAGTGGTCTGCAATTTAGGTGTCATCCCATTTTGCTTATTCTTTAAAACAAAATATTATTATAAACACTTTGGACATATGTCTTATCTGTATTTCATATTTTAATCCATTTACCCTTTCATTCAATAATAGCAATACTGACACAACTGTATATCTGAATACAAATTAATAAAAAAACTTCTTAAGTTATATTTGATGTTTTTATAAGTTAACTCTATATGTTACTCCACATTTTTCTTCATAAAATGTTTTGTTAGAATCATGGCTTCATAATTCTATGAAGGAAGGAAGTGCTCAAAAAACAAAAGGATGGGGGTACACCAAAGACACAAAGAAATTAACATGAAAGAGCTTGTACAGGTCACAGCTGGAACAATTTGAGCAGCAAACCAAATAATGTAGTATTAGAGTATAACCCAAAGTATTTTTTAAAAATGATCAAATAAATATTAGGCAGAAGAGACAAATCCTTTTACCAAAAAACTTCAAATGATTTGTGTAGATATTCCCTCCCTCTCTTCAAGAGATAAAACTTAATTTAACGCCTCGTCTCTACTCCCAGGCTACATTTAGTGATTTGCCTCCAAAAAGCAAAATATGAAAAGGGGAAGACGTAACTTGACAGCAGTGGAGAGACATGGTAAACATGACCTCAGCCAAGTGATCAAGGTTAATGTCATGTAGATATAAAGCGAAGACAGGCGAGCACTTCATGTCTATGGTCTTCCTCCCCCAAATCAGTGACCATGGTCTGATTATGAGAAAAACATCAGACGAACTCAAATCGAGGGACGTTCTGCAAAAAATCTGACCATTGCTCCCTAATACGCTCAAAGCTATGAAGGAAAAAGAAAGTCTGGAAAACGTTCACAGACCACATTGCTGAGGAGACATGATGAGCAATTATAATGCACTATCCTGGATGTGATCCTTGAATAACAAAAAGGGCGTTAGAAAAAAACTGGTGAAATCTGAATATATTTCCCAGGTTAGTTAATAGCAATGTACCAATGCTGGTTTCTTAAGCTGTGACAAATGTACTCTGCTGAGGTTGGATGATAACAATGGGAGAAACTAAGTACAGGCTATATGGGAGTTGTCTGTATTATCTCTACAACTTTCCTGTAAATCTGAAACTGTTCTAAAATAAAAAGTTTATTTAAAAAATATTCCTCATTAGCAATATAACCAGGATATTCATGATTATAATACATATCATCTTTTTATTCATAGCTTCTAACCTTTTATCAGGGCTTTTAAAACTTTCACACAAATAAATTTTGACAAACCATTTTATTAGGATGCATAATCCCTCCACCAAGGAATCTTTAATCTTTTATGAAGATCTCACTGAAAAGCTGACGTTAAATTGTTTTGCATGCTTTCATGTTCCATATGGGAATGGTGAAGGAAAGCTTCAGCCATATAAAATGATCTATTTGTTTGGGTACTACTAAGGTGCTCGGCAGAATAAGTTTGCATTATTAATATTTACTGAATGCCATAATTCCATAGTACAGATCCCATTAATTATATCCCCCTGAAAGCATAATTAATGGATCTGTTCTATGGGACTAAAGTTTATTTACAAGGATTTGTTGAAATGAAACATGATCAACTGGCCTCAAATCTTTTGAGTACATTAAAAGATTTAAGTATAAGTGAAATATTTAAAATTTTTAAACCACTATGGTAAACTTAATAATGATTCTTTAGGTAGGTATAATAAAATTAAATGCTCACCTAAATGTGTTAACTCTAATTTGAGGATGCATTCTCATAGCTCTAAAATTATGTAGAAAATATGTTATAGTGTATTGCTGCTTTGATAATCAGTGGTGTTATTATTGAGAAAGTACATAAGATAATTTTGATTTCTGTAGTACCAATGGGCTATTTTTCATTAAAATGTTTTCCTTTTTTTAGACATGCCAATTTTCTGTGAAAATTCAGTCATTCATTTATTCAGCCATTCAACAAGTACTGAGTACACAGTGGACTCCTCTTCCCTTAGATTGTAAGTTTTGCCATGATTCGTCCCACTGATAAAACATGAATATGCTTGCTGTTGCCCCAGCAACTTCCACGTGTCACTTAAAGATGAGAATGTGTTCTGAGAAATGGGTCAGTACATGATTTCATCATTG